ATAAGTTCATTTGATCTCAGAATTTCTTGTGAATTCACAGTAAGATCGAGAAGCTTGATCAGATTCGGGCTCAGTTTTTAGAGGAAGACTACTTTAAACTGGTGTTGTGTTCTTCTATTAGGGTGCTTAGTTAGATTTCTTTTTGTTATGATCAATGTCCAAATACATGACTGCATTGAAGGAATGCAAAATAATGAAATTTTAATTCTTCATAATCTTTTTACATTGACTGGAGTACTTCTGTTAGGAGAAATATCCTGCTATTTATTATTTAGTTACCCATGTATGAAAATCAGGATAAAAGCATGATTCTTTGTCTTTATTTACTAGTTTTCAAAATGATAAGTTGACTGATTAGCATCTCGCAAGGTGACCAATCTTTAAAATAGTTTTATTTTTTACTATCACTCATGGATTTAAACATATTTCATTTACATCAATTGATTGTAGTTATTATTCTTATTGATGCTTAGCTTGATTACCTTTGGTCATTGCAAGTCCCTGAAGTAGACTCCTAGATGGATCCTTTCAACATGATTTAGTGATTTTGTACAGCATCCTTCCTATGAGGTATTCCAAAGTGTTCCAAGTTTATCTAAACATTTCCTATCTCAGATTACATTCAACCATTTATCTAAGAAGTCATGTGTTCTTAAAAATATTTTTTTATTGAAGCAACATTGTATTATAACAATGTTTACATTATAACATTGTATTATAAGATTGCATTATAACATTGTTTCAGATGTGCATCACTATAAACCAACATTTATAGTGTTGATTTATGAGTTCATCACTAAAAGTCAAATTCTATCTTCTACCATACAATTGTCCCCTTTTACCTGATTTACCCACACCCCATACATTTAAAAATATTGTTCTAGATTTTTAATATGTGTTAATATTTAGTGGAAAAGTGCTACCTCTTAGTTGTTATTTTTAAGAGTTAGTTGACTTTGCTATTTGTGGAAACTAGAGAACTAAAATTTTGATTGGCACTTTTTTGAGTTTATATTATTTGGGGTGAATTTACATTTTGCAATATTAAGTTGTCCCATTGAAGATACTACAATGGCTTTCCATTTATTCAGATAATTTACTAGTCCTTTATCAGAGGTTTTTATTATTTGCCACAGAAGTCTTGTGTGTGTGTGCATATATACTATAAATATGGATATATAAGAAAAAGTGTTTTCTGTGTCCCCTTTAAACAATATTTCTTACCTGTGTTCTGTTCATCTTACTGTATTGTTCAGAGTACTAGCTTTCTTCTTTCTGATCTTCAATTTCTTTTTATCTCCATTTCATTGATGGTTTCCTTTACCCGTATTATTTTATTTCTATTTTTCTTTGTGTTTTCTCTGTTGCTTTTTCCCAACTTCTTTATGAAAAATGCTTAGATCACTTTTAAAATGTATTAAAACCTTAAAGTTCTCTCTCTGTCTCACAAATTTGTGCTACTTGATATTTTAATTGCCCTGAGTCCTAAGAATTTCATGATTTTATTTAAGATTTACCTTTTAGTTCAGTGGTTTTATAGTAATATGTTATTTGCTTTACAAACACAGAATACGTTTTTTCTTTCATATATCACAGACTCATTTCCTAATTTACTCGAGATATTCTTAGCAGGCTACATAATTTAGTTTCTCCGGAACTAGCAAATTACACTTCCTGAATGGGCTCAGACCATGCAGACAAAGTTGGATTAAGGTATAGAGATCTTATGTTATTTGGCCAGGTAACGTGAGTTGAAAAGATTTAGCACTTAAAAGGTCAGATCTTGATTAGTTAGAAGTAAACCTGAATTGAATTCCCATGTCTTGACTGTGCAGTGTTCCTGAGGGACAATAATGGCAATGCCTTCTAGGTGCTCCTTCCCTCATTGTTGACAAAACCCTTTCAATAACCATTTCTTACTGTGGTCTTTCCAACAACCTGGTGAGGTAGACAGGAAAGTCATTTAACCTCTGACTTCATCTGTCAGAGAGCTTTAAAAATACTTCCAGACTACTGTGGATTGTTGCGAGGATTAATTAATTAGAGCCAAAAATCCTTTCTCTCACTACCTCAGTGGGTTATGGTGCTTTGGTGAGATAATGGATATGAAAACACAAAGGCCTCCAGCAACCAGAGTGATTATTTTGGTAGTAGAAACACTTGTTTCCACTCCAAGTTCCTTCTTGTGAAGGGTGCATTTAGGAGAGGCTGGAGAAAGATTCTGTGCGACAACTCCGGGTCTGGGGCATATACCCGATACACGCTCATTGACTGGCTAAATACCAAGAGATCCAAGTGGCAATAGGACCATCTTCTTGGGTGTGCATCCCCTGAAGTTCCCATATTTGGGTCTCACGCTCCCGTGTTGTCCTCTTGAAATTCATAGTATTGTTACTTTTGATCTGTATTCTGTAAATGAAGTCTGATGACACAGTGAAACTTGTGTATAAACAGTGGACATATACTCAGTGGTGGCGTGCACTTGTGGGTTCAGGTCCCCAGGCATGGAAGGCATTGTGGGCACTGAGCCATTGGTCTGGTGTTCTGGGTACACAAATACCTTTTGGGAAATCTGGGTACATGAAGTCCTAAGGTAGCCAGACTGGGAACTGGGCTCAGATGGGTTCTGTTGACAGCGACAGCGGCAACAGAAGCGGTAGCCCTGGTATCAAGAGCTGTAGATGATTTATGTTCTTAATCATTATGGTGGACACAACAATATCCTCCTCTGTCACACTCCACCTTCAATATGTCCTTGTCCTAATCCCCAAAACAGGTGACTATGTTACCTTATATGGTTAAAAATACTTTGTAGTTGTGATGAAGTCAAGGAAGTTGCTATGGGGAGGTGATCCAGCGTGATCCAGGTGGGCCCCCCATCATCACAAGGGTCCTTCTAAGAGAAAGAGGGAAAAGAATTGGTCAGCGAAGGAGATGTGATGAGGGAAACAAAGACAACAGCTGAAAGAGAGGGCCGTGAGAGTGACAGATGCTGGAAGGTGCTATGCTGCCAGCAGTCAAGATGGAAGAAGGGCCCACGAGCAAAGAATGCTCATAGTGGATGAAAGGCAAAGAAATAAATTATTTCCTAGAGCCTGCAGAAGGAGTGCAGTCCTGCTGACTTCCTGATTTTAGGACTTTTGACTCTCAGAACTGCAAGACAATGCATTTGGATTGCTTTGAGCTACAGAGTTCTGATGAGGAAGCTCTTCCTGGTTGCAGATGGCTAGTTTTTAGCTGTGTCCTTACATGGTGCAAGGGGAGGGACAAGGCAGTTCTTCTGGGCACTGATTTTACCAGGGTGCTAATTTCAATAATGAGGTATCATTAGGGCTCATGATGTAATCACCTCCCAAACATCTCACTGTCTAATACCTTCATATTGGATTTTGGGATTTAAGTTTTGTGGGGGCACAAGCATTCACTCAACAGCGTGCATAGTAAGTTACTTTTACATAATGGAATCATGAAATAAACATTCTCTTTTTGCATGAATGCTATAATTAAGACTCCCCTCCAGCCTGCCCCCATTTCTGAAAATTGGCGTCAATGTGTCAAATATCCTTCTTTATTTTTCTTTTGTTCAATCATCCCTCCTTACACATCCCTTGTATATTACAAATACACACACAGTTTTTTCTTTCTTTTTCTTACTTTTGGTCATTTTCTGATATGCAAGTATGGGATATTTTATATAGACTTTTCATACACTGGTGCTTCTACTACTATGAGATAAATTCCTACGAGTGGAATTTCTGGTTCAAGAATATGCATTTCAAGAGTGAAATTGTGATGTCCATGTCCAGGAACGGTGGCTGGGACAGACTCATTTTCACTTTAATATACATTTCCGTAACTAGTGAACATCTTCTCAAATGTTTATTTACCATTTGGATATGTTCTGCTGTGGATTGCTTGTTTTTCTATAGACTTTTTCTCCCTTTCCTTTCTATCTCTCATTTTATTATTTTTACAAGAATACATACATCCTGGCTAGTACTTCACGTTGTCAGTTATTTTAATTTTAGCTGTTCTAGTGGATGTGAAGTGGTATCTGATTATAGTTTTAGTTTGCATTTTTCCTGATGGCTAATGACATTGAGCACCTTTTCATGTGCTTATTGGCCATTCACGTATCTTCTCTTGTTAATGTCTTTTGAAGTTCTTTGACCATTTCAAAATTATAGATATTAAGCCTTTTCCTCTCATAAGTGTTTAAAATATATGTGTAGCTAGACACTATATGTATATTTAACTGGCATATCAATTGTCTATTAAATTTGTTTTGGCGTGTATTTTGCAATATACAATCTTATATTTTTCATGATCATGATATATAATAACATAAAATTTACTATTTTTAAGCATTACATTGTTGTGCTGCATCATTATTTGGTAATGATGGTAAAATGATTGGAAAAAATAATAATTTTTAAAAATAATTAAATATATTGGGTTTTTCTTTCCTATTGTCTGTTCTACTCCGGTTAAAGAGGTCTCTGCACACCTAGATGACACATGTAATTTCTTAGGTTTTGTTTGCACCATTTTTATTGTTTTATTGATAAGTCTAAATATTAGTCCACTTATAATGTATTTTTTTATGGTATGAGGGAGGAAACAAACTCCATTTTTTTCCAAGTGAAGTGTCAGATATATGTGTGAGTGCACACAGTAGGTATCTTTTTTGCCATTGAATTGAAATATGATCTCTGTAAAAAAAAAAACTACTATAAATATTGGCATCTGCTTGTGGGCACTTTGCTCCATTGACTAGCTGTCTATTTCTATGCCAACATAATTTTGTTTTATTACAGTTTAATATCAAATAGATAAAAGTCCACGTCACCATTTTCCTTCATCATTTTCCTCCATATCCTCAGACATGAGTGTTCCCATGTGGGTTCCAGTGTCTTTTTATATAATTAAAAACATGCAAACTACTGAGGCATCACATTATCGTTCTATATTATTTCTGAGAGAATTCACAGTTTTTCCCCCAGGGCAGAGCACAAGCGCAGTCCCCACTACCACAAATGATGCAGTCAGGTTTCACACATTTGGGGAGATGGCCAGGGTCAGCACACCCCGAGTGCAATGGGGGAGCTTCATTCTGGGAAGACTGCCTTCGTGATTGTGGCAAATTTATTTGCCCTGCCAGGTAAGTATTGAGAATTTCCATTTTTATATTATCTGCTTATCCAAGAAAATAGTATCTCTTTCTATATTTTCAGATTGAGTTTTATGCACTTTAGTAAAAGTTAAATGATTATCTAGTTTCTAAACTTCTCAGATTGAGTTTATTCCTGTTGCTCACATGTATTTCTGGGTTATAAGCTTTTAATATTTCAGAATTTTAGGTTCTTGGTATGTATTGACAGTTTACATTTCTGTTAGAATTTTGTGTGTCTGACTCACTGCCTCCTTCCAACCTCTCTGACATTTGATAATATTTTTTTTCAATTTAATGGGCAGAAATTTGTATCTCCATTTTGTTTTAATTATGTATTTATTAGATTATTACTATACTTGATTATCTTTTCATATATAATGTGCTTTCTAATTTTAATTTCTGCATGCCTTTTAGTCATTTTGTTTTATTGATTTGCAATAGCTCTTTATATTAAAAAAATCAATGAATATATTATTTCCCTCTATATTATTGCCTTTTAATTCGATAGTTTGTAAAATATTTACATTTTCTAATATTAAATACACGAATCTTCCTTTTTGCTGTCTTCTATTTAGAATTTCTTACATAGTCTTTGCCTATCATAGGGTCAGTTAAATATTAAATAAACATTTTTATTTTTATGGTTTCTTTTTTACTTTTTACTCTATAATCCATCTAAAATTCTTTTTGGTATGAGGTGTAATGTTAAAGTCTATCTAATTTTTTCCCAAGATTTACCATAATTTTTTTTTTTTTTTTTGGTTAGTCAATGGTCAGGATCAAGTTCACAGTGAAAAATAGGACATTTAAAAAATGTGATTGGTGTGGAAAAAGATTCATTATGTCATAATAGGATGAATCTTTTGAGTGTTGATATCGCCAGGATGAAATATTTAAATGGCAGTGAATATGAGCCCTTTCGTCACTTTACCTGATAAATTAGTCACTTGTTGCAGGTTGAATTCACTGGCTGTTTAAGTTCCTGGGGAAGAAACCCGTTAGTCGCTGCAGGTTGTGCCCGTCACAAGGATGCCCAGTAGAGGGAGCAAGTGGGGACAAAAATCCAGACCAGGATTCACTGGCACTGGATGGAGTTGCATTTCCTGGAGGAGGGGGGTAACCTTTTTCTACTTCATACAAAGGTATTTTATAAGCTAGTGGTGCCCTAGCACCTGTACCCTAGATCTTCTGTATATTCTTCCCATTGTTTTTATTTGCTGGTTCAGTAGTAAAATCACAGCAAAGTTAGAAGAAACCAAAAGCAATTATTCTTGCCAGTTTTGAAGTTTAAACGACCTTTGTAGTTATCTTGGTTCATTTTCCAACACTACTTTATGAATTCTCATTTATCCCTTTTACTTTGTAACAGAAAGCATAGTGTCCCTCTTCTCTCCCAGAAACATCTTTCTCTTGTCTTCATTTTCTGATAATACATGATCATTTCTAAAATTTAAAAAATACAGGGAATTGTTTTTATTGGCCAGAAATGGTCATTGCTCACAATTTAGTATATACTTCAGGCTTTTTCCATCTATCTATTAATAAATACTGCTTTTAATATGTTTGTATATCTATATCTATCCTGGCTCACAGTTATATGTATTTTTTTTTTTTACTGTCATAAGCCATTCCACAGTGGGTCCCCTTACACTTACAGTTTTCACACATTGGGGTTATTATTTTCATATGATAAATTGTCAGACATGAAATTGCTGCTTCAAAGGGTATGCCCATTTAAAGCTTTTTTTTTTTTTTTAATATATCACTCTGCAGAGCTTTTGTACCAGTTTACATTTCCACTAACCGTACAAGAGGACATTTCTTTCCTGACTCTCTTGCCACAACCCGACCGGGCAATATCATGCTTTTAAATCATCAGGATATTTGGTGTAACTTAAGTTCTCATGTTTGTTCAAAGACAATAATGTTGTAGTTTATTTTAGTTTTTACTAATTTTTGGTGAGTTTGACCATCTATTCCAGACCTCAGCTACATTTTTTCTATAGAGGACCAGGTTTGCTGGTGCCATGGTCTCTGTTGCACCTCATTTTAGCAGGATAAGATCTGTACACTGTATGAGAGGGAATGTCTGTGATTGAGTCCCAGTGTTTACAGAAACAGACCACAGCAGGTTTGACCCACAGGCAACAGTTTAATAACCTCCGATCTATTCATCTGTTTCATGGCCATTTAAGTGACTTTTGTGAATTAATGGTTTGTATCCTTTCTGCCTTTTATTTTTTTGCTGTTTTATAAGAACTCTGTTCTATTTGGTCACAAAGTCACAATGTTAACAAATACTTTTTCCAGTTTTTCATTTGTTTACTAACTTGGCTTATGGTATATTTCTCTATTGATAGTTTTATTTTTTATGCAATTAAATCTGTCAGTCTTTAGTTTTATGGTTTCTGAGTTTCATGTCATACTTATAAAGGTCTTTACTCCAAGCTATACAAATCATCTCTTATCTTCTGTTCCATTGCTTTTCTAATTTTTAAAAGTATCTGAATGTATTTTTGTTTGGTAACAGGGATATAATTTAATGTGTATGATCTATAATTTATCCATTGATTTGAAATAGTACTTTTTTATATATTAAATTCCCATACATGCATGCATCTGTCTCTGAATTCTGATTATTGTTTCTATTATTCTGATTATTCTTATCAATTATTTTCATGTTCTTTTATATGGTATCTGTTTCACTAAATTTTCTATTGTGTTATTGCTTGAGTGGGGAGACTGTGGTGTATTTATATACATCACTGAATTTTTTTTATTGTTAACTAATACTTTTTCTTGTGAATTGTCTAGGCTGTCATCATCTGTAGATGATGATCATTTTGCCTCTTCGTTTTCAAAAGAAATGCCTCTTGTTGCAGTGGCTAGAATTTATATGATAATGTCATATAATAGCGGTGATAATGGATATCCTTATTGTGTTCCTGATTTTAATGAGAAGGGCTCTTGTGTGTCATTGCTAGGTATGTGTGATGGTAATTTTTGATAAATATTCTATCATGTTTAGGAAGATTTCTTCTATCCCTAGTTCATTATATTTTTCAAAATAACGACGGATGTTGAATTATCAAATGCAATTTTGGCATCTATTGAGATAATCATATAATTTTTCTCCTTTAGCCAGATTGTGTAATAAATTATGTCAATAGGTTTTCTAATATCACACCATCCTTTTTTTCTTGAGAGGAATCAACTTAGTCAAAATACATTCTTCCAGTTGTGTTCTAATATGCTTTATACTGTTGGATCATATTGGCTAATGTTATATTTTAAATTTTTGTATTTGTATTGTTAGGTTTAGTTTGAAAATAATTTCTTTTTCTGCACTGTCTTTGTCAGATTTGGTATTAGGCATTTGCAAACCCTGTGAAATGGTTGAATATGTCTTCATGCTCCCAATGAAATAGAAATTTATATAGTTAAATATGATTAGTTAAAATATTAGGATGATATAGAATATATCTGTTGCTTGAGAGAATGATAAAAATTATTTACAAATCCTTGTGTATCTGGTCTCCTTTGGGGGAAGAGATCTTTGTTTAGCTGTTGTTCTATAGGGGGTTTTCTTGTATTTTAGTCACTTGTAACTAACTGTATTTTCCTAGAAAATTATCATTTTATGTAGATATTCAAGTTTGTTAGTATAAACTTGTATTTGCTATTCTCTTATTTCATCTTTTTCTCCTGTTTTTAAAAAAGATTTATTTATGCATACAAGAACTGAGGTACAGGCCAAAGGCGTGGGGGGTGAGAGGATTCACCAGAGACAGAGCAGGGAATAGAACAGGCAGATCTACTGAAATACACTGCTGAGGGGAGCAGCAGGCAAGTTAGGAGAGGTCTGCTGCACCATGTAGGTAGCTTCCTGGCCGGGGATCGAACTTGTGCTTCAGTGGCTGTGGATTGCTTCTTAGGTTGCATCTTTTTTTTTTTTTTTTAAGATTTATTTATTTATACAAGCACTTGGTACAGTCAGAAGCATGGGAGGGTGAGAGAATTCACCAAAGCCAGAGCGGGGAGCAGAGCAGGCAGACTGACGAAGTACACTGCTGAGGGGAGCAGTGGGCTGCAGGAGAGGTCTGTGCGCCATGTGGGACCCTCGCCTGGCGGCTGGGGATCGAACCGGCGCTGCACAGGCAGCTTCGCAACCCAGCACTCAACTGCTGCACCACCTGGGAGGCCCTCTTAGGTTGTGTCTTAACCCCTGCGCCACCAGGGAGGCCCTTATTCTCCTGTTTTTTTTTTTTTTCTTTCATTTGTTTAACATGTATTTTCTGAGTGCCAACTATGTGGTGGGTAATATGACATGCTCTCTGGCTTTCATGAGACACTCAGTGGCTGACAGCTGAGATATTTGCCCCCTTGGAATCTCCATTTCAGTGTTGTATATTTTTGTTTTCTTCTTTTTTTCTTAAGTTGGTTTTTAAGATTTATTTATTTATGCATACAAGGACTAGGGTGTAGGCCAGAGGTGGGGATGGGGTGAGAGGATTCACCAGAGACAGAATGGGGAACAAAACAGGCAGATCCACTGAAATACACTGCTGAGGGGAGCAGCGGGGAGACAGGAGAGGTCTGCTGTGCCCTGTGGGACAGCTCTGTCAGGGGTCGAACTCATGCTGCAGTGGCTGGCAATAGCGTGATAGCTTGATAGCACTGTGTCTTTAACCCCTGCACCAACAGGGAGGCCCTATATTTGTGTTTTCTTTCTTTGATAAGCTTACTAACTTTCTTATTTATTATTTTCATAAGAGAAACAATTTTATCACCTCAAATCCATTAATTCCTTATTTTATTTCAGTGTTATAAACATTTCTGTTATGGAAATTTTAAAATATACACAGAGGTAGAATATTATATTGGATTCCCATGTCCTCATCAGCTACCTTCAACAACTGTCAACTCATGGCCAATCTTTTTTTTGTTTTTGTCCCTAAACCACTAATTGTCAAACATCTTATTATTTCTTTCACAA